CTCAGCGTCTACACGAGGGAGACGTTACCTATCTCTGTAACTTTTTGATTCGTTCGAGGAAGGTCTCCTATTATATAAAGGGGACCTCCACATTGTAAAGGGGGTAGCTGATCTAATACAACTCTCTCCTTTTCTGTCTTTCTCTCTCTATATCTCTACTTCTGACGAAAATATCTTATGAACATACATTATCATCTTTGCAACACTAGATCTACAACAATATTATCATCTTTGCATCTCCAGGTTTATTATATTTGATTACGATTTACCCCTTCTCTATTTTTTGATTGTTTTATCGCTTACAAAGTACATCGTTAACTTTTGAGCCAAACAAAATTGATGGCTTCACACCGAGGACCACAGAATTAAGGAACCGAGAAAGGGATGGCACCTGTTGTTGCATATGAAGAGATATCCTATAGGCTTTTACCTGCAGCAATTCCTCTAGATTTTATTGTCTCACTTTTCAAAAAAATATCATATCAGAATTTATGATTATTTAAATTTAATGAGAATCTTTTAAAGTTTGTGATTTTGTAGAATAGTAGAAGCAGAACGATATTAAATACTATGTAAAATGTTTCAAATTAAAGTGAAGAAAACGTCATATTATATATAAGAAAATGATGAAGTAAAACTGTTAGGCAATTCCTCATTTCTGTAGAGACTACAATTATGCCATGTGTAAATGTGGATATATACCTCAAAGGAAGCATCATGTTATTATATCTATATACCCAAGAGTGCTGGACGCAACATATATACTTGCCTGAATGAAACTCATAAAAATGAGCTTAGAAAATGATCACTGCACAGTGGTGGCCTGGTTTCATCTGTGTTATTACGTACTGTCAATTTCCAAAATCTAAAGCTCATATATATGCAGTAAGAAACAGCAGCAGCAGTAACTCAGAAAGTGAATACACAACAGCATAACAGCCATCAAGTTCAGGTAAAATCATCTTTTTGAAATCTGATAATATCCTATATACAGTCATTACCTCATTAATCTATATATATGTCATTTTGCCCTTCATACTTTTGCCGGTAAAGGGTTCAGAAGAGACTGGAAAGCACTTTCAGATTAATTTTAGACGCTAAAACTTATCGGAACAGTCTTTAGTCAACATCTTGTTGCCTTAAATACCATCCATTATTATTGTCCAAGGGACAGCAGTAGTAGCTAGTAGAGTAGTAAAAAAAAAAAAAAAAACAGCTCGGTGCACTAAGCTCCCGCTATGCGCGGGATCCGGGGAAGGGCCAGACCACAAGGGTCTATTGTACGCAGACTTACCCTGCATTTTTGCAAGAGGCTGTTTCCACAACTTGAACCCGTGACCTCCTGGTCTGGTCACATGGCAGCAACTTTACCAGTTACGCCAAGGCTACCATTCTAGACTAGTAGTAGTAAAACTGATTTTTTTTGTATTTTCAATATATATATTCGCATGCTATAATTAGCCCAAAGAAAACCAAGAAAAAGTTTTACTGGACAATTATTATAATATCTGGAACAAACCCAAGCCAATTAGTTGTTGCAGAAAATAGTCTCACATACTTTTCCTTCCCAACCACATGTTTTACTGTCATTACTTCTATAGTTCTACTACGTTTTCCACGACAGATCACGAGATAACTATCTAATCTAAACAAACAAGAACATAATTGTGGGAATAAAAAAAGGAAACATAATTGTCTGATGCGTATATTTAATGGTTCTCAGCAGAAACATAAGAGAAAATTAAAGTAAACTTCTCTAAGACAGCTAGAATACATTTCATGAAATCGGGGTGAGGACTGAGGCCTAGGCAATATTACATTCTTTTAAAACATGTTCTTATGTTAATTATTTGATACCTTTTAACTACTCCTCAGAACATGCATATGAAAAACAAATAAACAAGTACTCATATATCCATTTAATTATCTATATATATCTGTAGAATATTAGGGTTATAGATTCTTTTGCTCGAGTACTCTACCCGGCTTTTGAGCTTTCTTTTTCACTTCCAATGGTTTTTCAGCTTTCATCATGATACTTTGTACGAATTAAATTTCCATATAGAAAAAGCCTATTCTCTTATTCTCCAGCTTCAGTATGCTGCAGACACTTTTCTCATTGTTTGCCAAGCCAGCTAGTACGGTGGGAGGGGTCTTATTTTTGGCTCTTTTTTCAGTCTCATACCAGAGAGTTACACATGGAAATTAAATAGTGGAGTAGTACAAATATTCCTTTGTTTTTCACCCTTTATTAGCCGATCAAATTCAGAGGCGGAACCAGAATTTCAAGTTTATGAGTTAGAATTTTATATAATGACTTCAAACGCTAATAACTGGATTCTAAATTCAATATTTGTACATGATTAAGAGTATTTTAAAAAAAAATATAACTACGCTATTTCAGCAAAAATTATTGAACTCGGTTTTCTAGCTCCGCTCCCGTTCAAATCCCTACTCTATGGAAAACTAAGTAGGCATTTGGACAAAAAAATTGTAAAATTCCAAAAAATGGCGAAAAAATTTTTCAAGTGAAAATGATATTTGAAATTTAGAGTTGTGTTTGGATATAAATTCCAGTTTTTAAAGTTTTGTGAGTGATAATTTTGAAAAATATTTTTTTGTAGTTTTCAATTTTTTGAAAATTTTCAAAATGCATCTTCAAGTGAAAATTGGAAATTTTATGAACAAGCGCTGATTTCGAAAAAAAAGTGAATTTTTTTTGAAAAGAAAAAAAATTTTTTTTATGTCCAAACGGGCTCTAAGAGAGAAAAAAAAAAGAGAGGGACACAATCTTATTTCCTAGGGTCTAGACTCTAGAGATAAGTTATTAAATAGTAGTACTAGTTTTTAGAAAAAGAAAAGCAAGAATATTTTATATCTAAGAAGAACCTCATTATCATAGTAAGATAAATCGGAATACCCATTGAGCTATATCAAAGGCAGGTGGTGGCATCAGATTCTATTGGGAGCTACAGTTTGTATTTTAAGGTCTTTGCTCCAATCAAAAATCAATTCAATATAATTAATTGTTGTTGTACCATGACCTCACCACTATTATTGAATTGGGTCCCAAAATTTCATCTTAACCATCCACGCGGCCGATTGTCATACCCTCTTAACCACAACCAAATATTTGCAGCTCCTTCACCACCCCCAACAGCTGAGAGCGTCCTCCCCACTTGCTTCTTCAAATTATTTGGCCACCTTATTCTTGCCCATCCAATTCGACCTGGTCAATTCGACGGTGGTGTCCAAATTAATTTTCTGTTTCTCAATTATATATCAAACATATGCTATATTTCACAGACACACGTATCCAATCATTCTTTTCACTAATAAATAACAAATATTAGTTTAAACCTCTCATTTAATTCCTATAGGTCAATAATCCAAGGAAATAAGGAGATCGACAATAATTAATGTCACACATAATATTAGAGCAGTGTGGATGAAATGGAAGTCCGCATAGGATGTCCTATACGATAAGAATGTGCAACCAAGATGTAAAGGCAAGTTTTATAGAGTGATTATTAGACCAACACTATTTTATGCGGCAGATTATTGGCTAGTCAAGAACTCACAAGTTTAGAAGATGAAAGTACCGAAAATGAGGATGCTTTGTGGGCATAGTAGGAGAGATAAGATTAGGAACAATATGAGGCAAGGTGGGAGTTGCATCCGTGGTAGACAAGATGCAGGAAGCGAGGCTGAGAAGGTTTAGGCATGTGAAGAAAAGGAGCACAGATGCCCAAGTGATCAGGAGGTGTGAGAGGTTGACAATGATAGGCCTAAGAAGAGGTAGAGGTAGACTGAGAAAGAATATGAGAGAGGTGATTAGACAGGACATAACACATATCCAGCTCACCGAGGGCATGATCCCATATAGATAACATGGAGATCAATGATTAGGGTAGAAGGTTAGTATGTAGTCAAATAATTTTTCTCTTTTATGTGGTAGAGTACGGTTCTAGTTTAGTATTATTGCTATTATTCTATTAGTATCTTATTCTTCATATTTATTATTACTATTTTTTTTTTTGCTTTGGTTATTTCTATTGTTTTTGTTGTCAATACTTTTTACCCTTGTAGGTTTCAAACCTCTTTTGAAATGTTTTTTAGGCGAGAGTTTATCAGAAGCAATCTCTTTACCTAAAAAATAAGATTTGCATACATCTTACCCTTTTCAGATTCCACCCATAGCAGATCCCACCCATAGGAACACCTAGGTATAGTAGTGTTGTTACCATGCTTGTGTAATATCATAGCATTTTTAAGATACAAGTAATAAAGATGCTTTTGAAGTAGCAAAAGTCTTTTTTTCTTATTCTCTTTGCGGGATAAAAAACACTTTGTCTACTCAAGCATAGCCACATAAAAAGATATAGAAGAAGCGTTTATTTTTAATCACTGTTATTAGTTATATATGCTCGATGAAAATCAAAGGAGCTAAAAAGAATGCGAAAAAAATGAAGAAATATCAGTGTCAGTCAGCTAAGGAGGGAGGTGATTCACACGATGAAGCTAGGACAGTGAGAATATGGGATACCCAAACAATTCAAACAACGGACACGCGTCCAGTTAATGGAACCTCCCAGAAAAAGCATTCCCACTTTGCTTCTACCCAGGTACAAACGTGTCGCCTTTTTTTCCGTCAGTGCTCTATACGTGACTTATTCCCATTGGCTCTCACTTGGCACACCAATCACAGCACAACTATTTCCATTTTCGCTGGATATGCTGCTTTACTATTGGGACCCACCTGATCTCATCCCACCAATCACGGCTCTTCTCTGCTTAAGGGTTTGCCCTAGACACGTGGTGTAATTTCCTAACCCTACGACTATTGCCTGTAACTATGATAATCGTCTCGGCATCCGGCTAAAGTTTATTGTTTTTTTAGTCTAAAGTCTGCTCTTCGAGTGTAAATAGAGTTAGATATATATTTTATGGACGTCGGAAACAATTGGGCCGGCCCAGGATACCCAGGCGCACCTGAAGATATGACGATAATCAACAAGATGATGCTAAGATTCCGGCCGATTGCGCCGAAGCCCGTCGCTAATTCTTCGGGCTCTGGCTCTACGATCGAGACTCATCAGATTGAAGTGGTTAGCAAAAGAAGAACAAAGAGAAAGTACGTTAGAGTTAAGAAAAATAGCAATTACAAGAATAAAAAAGAAGAGGAAGAAAAAAAAGATGGATCCTTAGTTTTGGATGATCATGGGACTGTTGTAACACTACAACTACTGCCAGAAAGTAGTGGAGGAGTTAAAAGCTCACCAGAGAACAGATCTTACCCAAAAACCATCAATTTTTGGATGAATTTTGATAAATCTGAGAATAGCGATATTTTATCAATCGGTGCACCGAATCTGTTAGATCGGACGGTGGAGATGCGATCTGCGAAGGTAGTGGAGTCATGGGTGATGGTAGATGGTATAACAAACACTTTGGTAGATTTATCAGCCTTAGGTAGTACGGATACGGAGAAGATGAAGAATCTGGAAGCTGACACGTGTCCAGGTATCATATCGGACGGCTTAGATAGGGTACAGTGGGTGAATCTAGCGTATCGGAGAATGATAGATCCGTTAGAAGACGGCGGAGAGCCACCGGAGATGGTGGTGCGGTTAGTTTTGAAGGAGAAAAAAACTGTACCATTATTATTATTGCCAGCTTTTGCATGCACTGTGAGAGTTGTGTATACAATGAATAAGGTGAAGCAAACAAGGACAATGCCTTGTGACGTGTGGAAGATGGATTTTGGCGGATTTGCATGGAGATTTGATGCTAAGGCTGCACTTAGTTTGGGGATTTGAAGGAAAATAAACACTTCAATTCCTTCTCTCTAGCAACAAAGGATAATCCCAACCTTGCTATCAAGGTAAGGCAATATTATTATAGTATATATTATGGGAACCCTAGTGAGAAAAATAATGCCTAAAATTTGTGCTTTTGAAGATAAAATCTAGGGCAAAAATATGCTCTTGATCTTATTCAAACTCCTCTATTTCTAAGTGTAAAAAATGTTTGTTGGAAATGAAAAGTGTGAAATTGATAACAAACTATATATGCGGTTGTTATAATTCAGTTGATTTCAATATTTATTTGTTGAGCAAGAAAATGAACAACACATCACTTGTGAAAATTCTTTCAAACGGAATGGAACGAAAAACACTTCAAATGAGCTCTAGCTTCTTCGTTCAAACCTCTATTTCTAAATATAAAAAGTTTGCCGAAATTAAAAACTGAGAAGTTCATATAAAACTAAGTGTTGCTTAACTTCCTATTAACTTAAGGATTTATTGTTCAGAGATGAAATCATATCCAACACTAGTTAACCTATGTTATTGCTTAATAAATTTCATCTTATATCCCATTACATATCATGTCATTTCCAAAGTTTCTATCCACATTTATTTTGAAAGTTTTCAGAACTTGAGAAATTTTCATACACCTACAAATTTCCAAACATCTGGTCTGAATGCTTATGAATAAAACTAATCCTTTTGAAGTTCTTGAGAGTGACACCAACACCTTGCATTTGTTTTGTATTGACAATCAATACTACAATAAATTGAGAAATTACAGTAAACACAAAATTAACAACAATTGTTATGTTTTATTGGAAACAATATAGGGAGAAAACTATATGCTAGTGAGAAACTACTAAATGCTAGCTATAGCAGAGTGAGTTTTGTAACAAGTATGTGAATTAATCTCTTCCTAAGGGTCTTTGCACTTACTCTAAAAAGGAAAATTCCCATCGACTGTGGAAATATAAGCTGATTCTCAGCTTCTTTCTCGAAAAGAATGGGCATTATTCTCAAACTTGCCTTGTAGTTTGTTCAAAATTATCGTCTTGCTAACTTTTTGGTCAAAGAAAACTAGTGAGTAATAAAGCACATCCATGATATTATTGACTAATTCTATATCACATGTAAAACATTGATTTTGTAGACTATTGAATAGAGTATCATTTTTTCTCTATCTAATTTGTTTCTTTTTATGTCTAAAGATAAGCGTATAGCTTATCATTTTAATTAGTGGAGCTAGGATTGAAATAATTGGACAAGCTAGCTAGGTTTCAACTAAAAATAATAACATTTGCTGACTGATTTGTTGTAGTTTTTCAATGCCAGGTTTATTGGAGTAGTAGAAACTAGCGACTTTAACATTAAATTGCTATACTGTGTTTGGCCAAGCTTCTTTTTGGTCAAAGGCACTTTTGGCCAAAAATTGAGGTGTTTGGCCAAGCTTTTGGAAGGAAAAAAAGTGCTTTTGAGGAGAAGCAGAAGCAGTTTTGGAGAAGCAGAAAAAAGTAGCTTCTCTCCAAAAGCACTTTTTTGAGAAGCACTTTTGAGAAAAATACACTCAGAAGCAGTTTTTAAAGCTTGGCCAAACACTAATTGCTGCTAAGAAGTGCTTTTCAAACTAATTAGCCAAACACAAACTGCTTCTCATCAAAAGTACTTCTGAGAAAAGCACTTTTGAAAAAATGCACTTCTCAAAATAAGCAGATTTTTGCAGCTTGGCCAAACGGGCTATCAGTCAGACAGGGACACCTAGAATGTGGTGGTAAGGACTGACCACCCTTCGTCGAAAAATTACACTGTATACATAGGTAAAATATTACATTTTAGAAGTATATAACATATATTGGACACCCTTTGTCCAAAATATTTTCTACTTCTTTTAAATTTGAGCACCCTTATGGAAATTCCTAGCTTCGCCACTGCCTGAAACCTGCGCAAGAGGAGCTAACAAAGAGTAACTTTGTGTAGATAAGCGTTAGTGTATATCACTAGTTCAGAACTTAACTCATTATTAAAGTAAAGTTACAAATTATTTCTTGTCATATATTAAAGTTATCTTACTTTAACAGTAAAGTTACAGAAATTTTTACGCATAAAATAATTGTATTTTACTTATTATAACAGTACAGTCACCTTGATTAGTAGTAGGTTTTATCGCTAAAGTAAGTCAAATTACTTTAAGTTGATAAAAACATTATAGTTTTATGACTTTACTGTTTTTGTTTTGACGGCGTGGCTTTACTCTATAGTAAATAAAGTTTGTGATGTTATTGTTAATAGTGATTTTATTTGCTGTTATAAACTTTTGTTTCTTGACCTTTTTCGTGAATAAAGTTCAATTATAATATACTCAAGAATTAGCTAAAATGTTTTACCGAAGAAGTTTTTCATTCCTAATAGGGTTATGCCTCTTATCCTGACATCTGTGTTTCGTTATGGTAATAGTACTACGGATAAGAACAGATAACACATTCAGCAGATTCATGAATCTTACAAGAAGATCTTCTTTTGCTTGATAAGCTTAAACAATGAGATGTCAGTTACTAGTAGGCTGAATCATTCTGCACTCCACAAAAGAGTAGCTAACATTGGTTGATAAGAAAAAGCTTAACTATATACAGATTGATATGCAGCATCTAGAACTTTCTCCTCATTGATTTCTTCATATCCATAGTTTCTTTCAACTTTTTCCCCTTAATTTTCTATCATAGTTCCTCTCATTTTATTTTCCGTAATAATTGAATAAGTGCGTTAGATGTGAATTGACAGGTGAATAAGTGGCTTTAGTTTCTTCTGGTGATTTTCCTTTCGCTTGTAAATTTGGTTAGTCAAAATAAGCTGCAAGCAGGGGCGGATTTATAGCTTAAATTACGAGGCATTTGAAATCCTAGTCTTTCCGTCAAGCTACATATTTTATGTATCTATTTTTTAAAATTAGAGTCCGTATGGATTAGCTGATGTTAAATATAGTAGTTAATAAGTTTGAAGTGCTGAAAAGCATATTTAAGTGTTGAAATTAATTTTTTAAATAAGTATTAACGTGTTTGGATAGACGTGCTGAAACTGATAATAAGTAGGTGATGTGTTTGGTAGAAAATTGCTGATAAGTCATTCTTTTGTTAAAATGACTAAAATATCCTTAAATGTTTTACAAAAGATTATAAAATAAAATGTTTCTTTATAAAGATACATATGGACAACGAATATGAAATGAAAAGAAAGTTAGAAAATTTATTTTGGGAAAAATATTTGTGAATTAGAAAATATTATAAAGAATAGACTAGTAAAAGTCTTGGTCAAACTAAAGTGCTTATAAGCTAAAAATTCATAAGTTGGGGGTGACAAATTATGACTTATGGCTGATTGTAGCTTATAAGCACTTTGGGTCTTTATCAAACGCGTAGATAAGCCAAAATGTATTTATAAGCTAGTTTGACCGGCTTATAAGCTTAGTCAAACACCCTCTTAGTCTAATATTATCTGTTGGCCTCTCGAGCCTCGTATTTTTGGGAAGCAACCTCTCTACCTGTTCAAAGTAGGGGTAAGGTTTGCGTACATATTACCTTCCCAAACCCCACTTATAGACCCGCTGAATTTTTTTTTTGTTGTTGTTGTAATCTACGCGTTTATACCAAAATATATAAGTTTGTGTAATTTCGAAAAATNTATCATCTTAATAATATATATATATATATATATATATATATATATATATATATATATATATTTATATTACGTTTTGCTTTAGTTTACAAGTTATTTATTTCATTTCTTATGAAAATACATACATATAACTTTTAGGTGACTTTATATTTTATTTTTTAATACCGTGAGCATATAAAAGTAAAATCTGATAGTAAAATTTTAGGAACACGTGTGGACATAACTAGATTTCTGCCGTAGGGGTTTTTCCATGTAAGAGGTTGGTTGTTGTATAACGACCACGTGTCCTTCTTTTTGACCGTCACTCAACTTTTGTAGCGCTTCATTCTTCGTTCTTTCATACTCTGCAGTCTGCACCAATCAATCAAACAGCTCTCTGTTTCCGTTTTACCTTTTCTTTCCGTTCCTTTCTTCTCTTTTGCTTTGCTGTTATCCATAAGCTGCTTTTAGAATTGTTTTCCTTTGGTTATTTATAGCCTGTTTGGCCAAGCTTTTATTTGGGCCAAAAGTACTTTTTTTTTGCCAAAAGTATTTTTGATCGAAATTTGAGGTGTTTGGTCAAGCTTTTGGAAGGAAAAGAAAGTGCTTTTGAGGAGAAGCAGAAGCAGTTTTGGAGAAGCAGAAAAAAGTAGCTTCTCTTCAAAAGCATTTTTCTGAGAAGCACTTTTGAGAAAAATACACTTAGAAGCAGTTTTCAAAAGCTTGACCAAACACTAATTACTGCTCAAAAGTACTTTTCTAATTAATTAGCCAAACACAAACTATTTCTCACCAAAATCTCTTTTTTAAAAAGTAATTTTGAGAAAAGCACTTCTCAAAATAAGCTGATTTTAGAAACTTGGCCAAACGGGCTATTAGTTCTGTTATTCATAAGCTGCTTTTAGAATTGTTTTCCTTTTTGTTTAAATAACCAAATTTCCTCTTGGTTAGGTTCCGGGCTTCCGGCATTTCAACCAAATTTTAAAAAACAAAGTAAAAGAAGAAACGAACATTAATGTACTTGAATAGTAGGGACTAGGGGCGTTCATAGTTCGTTTTTGATTGGTTTTTTCCTAAAAAGAAACCAAATTAAATAAGTCGGTTTTTTAAATATTAGAACCAAATCAAACCAATTAAGTTGGTTTTTTCTCAATTTTGTCGGTTTTGTCGGTTTTTTATGGTTATTTGTCCGTTTTTTCTTAAATATAAGTCATACACTACCAAACACATATTCCGGCGATCACATTTTCAACGTAGCACTATCAAATCAATTGCCCTTTGAGAAATCTATTATTTACTAAAATATATTGATGATAATAGAATCAAATATTGATAAATAATTTAAGGACTCAATTAAAAAT